TATTAGTATAGAGCCCCACTTGTGGTTACATAGGTTAATGGACCAACTGGATAACCTACCCATTGTTAAGAATTTTGTTTCTGTGAGTAAATGAATTCGGATTTCCAAACTACAGATTACAAACTCATTACTGTTCCAACCTGTGAGTGGAGAAAGTCTTCAGGTAAACTGCAGCCGGTTGCAACTCTATTTGCAGGTATATTTTGTTGTCTGCAAACAGCTTCATGATGTACTTTAGAATGACTTCTCCAATAACCGCCCCGTGGTTGTGCACACTCTGGGTCAAGTGGCAAGTTTAAAACTCACTTTGCTAGCATGGTCCTAGAAGAGCAGGATTGCTTTTGTAAGTCTGTCTAAAAATGACCCGACCAAGAAAAATGCAAGGAGTTCATCAACTTTTTCTTTCTTTAAACTACATTCTCTCTTTGGTGTCTCTTCGGGGTCGCCAGATTCAAACTTTGTTAGACTTTTAAAGTGTTTTTAAGTAAAACCTAATTCTCCCAACAGATGAAATCTGCTATTGCATAAGTCACGAGCAGCCAGAGAGAACCCTGCCCCACCAGCCATTTCACCGGCTCCCTAAAACGCAGCTGTATTTGGGAGCCCTCTAAGTAGGAAGTAAGGCTAATAGTCAGTTCCCAGAACAGTAGGTGTGGTTTTAATGAGCTCATTCAAGGGGGGCCAAGAGGGGAGTGGTTGCATGGTTCTATTTTTAAAATGCTTATAAAGATCATCCTTTGTTGTCTAAACACACAGATGAGGGGGAGATGTCTCTCAGGTTACAACGAGAGGCTGAGCTAACCTGGTTTCCAGCGAAAAGGAGGAGCCTGGGATAATCCGCTCGTGAGCCAGTGCCAAATTCCTCCGAGTTGGCATCCATGCTGGCAGAGCTTCTCCTGCCCAGCCTGCAGGGTTGGTCTAAGGTGCATTCCCTCCCTCCAAGACCAACCAGAAAGGCCAAGCCCCCAAGAAGGGGTTCTCCTCCAGGTGCATGGGAACCACCCGGAGATTTCGAGGGGATGGGGAATGTCTCGCATCATTCACGTCACATCACTTGATTAGCTCTAGCATTTAAAATTATAGGGGGAGAGGGCTGACTTCATGCCAAGTCAGTCAATCAGCTCCTGCCGTTTTATTTGCTAGTTGGGTTTGCTGCTATGCGAGTTAGATCCTACATCGAGGGCCCTGCTGTCACCCCAGCGAGCCTATGGTCACCAGCAATTCTCTTATGACTTCCTTGGGTCGGAATAGCACTTTACACAGAAGACACGTGGGGAGAGCTCTAGAGCTGGTTCGATGCAGTTTTGACAGTGCAGAGGGAGAATGCGCCTGGGTAAGCCCGGGACGCCCGGCCGGTGGACCGAGAGAGTGTCTACCTTACCTTATCTCCCGTTCTCGGGGCTGTCTTGCAAAATGCCTGGCTCATAGAAGTAGGTGCTGGGTACTTGGGAAATATGGGGGGAGGTGAGCTGGCGGGGTGCAACCACACAGGTATAGGGAATGTCCCGCAGAGCGGATTTTGTGGAGAGGGGCGCTTTTTCCCTAGGACTCTTCCGGCTTCACCTGGAGTAATCGCTTTCCACTCGAGAAGGAACGTCTCAGATTAGCGACTCGGATTAAGGGTTGCGGGGGTGGTGAGGGGGAGATCAATACAAGCACACTTTGTTATGGGGAGGTGCCACAAAATTACCAGTTCCAATAAAGACTGTAAAGAACAAAACCAGGTTCTGCTGGCGGAATCTGGCCCCGCTCCGGGCGCTCAACCCGCAGGTTCGGGGCCACTCTGAGACAGCCTTTCCCAAATCTTTAAAACGGAGTCCGTGCGTGAGGACCACGGATTATCGCCCTCAGTGTGTGTTGACCTGAACCGAAATCTGGATGGGGCCGGTCCTGGCTACCCTCAATCGGACAGATAGACGCGGTTCCGAGAAGTCCAGAAGCTCCTGGTGCCTCCCGCAGCCCCGCCGGGAGAGCACGTGGCACCTCTGTCCCCCTAAGGCGTGGGGCGCACGGAGAAAGGCCTGGGCGGCCCACTGGGGAGCGTGCCCTCCCCTCCCAAGCCTGGGATACGAGAGTAGGTAGGGCCGAGGGCGCGAGCACACTAGGACATACGATCTTTATTAGCGACCTGGAAAAGACACGGTCGCCCTTCCCAACCCCTCCGTTAGGACGCCCTCTGCCACCAGGTCCGGAGGAAAACTCATCGGCGTCCCAGGCCCTCAACTGGGGCCACAGCTCCTGTCCCGCCCCCCAGTCTGCCCGCCCCCCAAGACGGGGAGGCGATTCTGGGATCCAGCGCCCGGCCCGCGCCCCTCCCCGCGCCCCGCCGCGCTCCTCCCCTGTCCCGTCGCGCTCCTCCCCTGTCCCTCCTTCAGCTCCGCCCGGGCGCCCGAGGGCAAGCGGGGGGAGGACGGAATTTCCCAGCGCGGGGGCTCCGGCTTCCCCTGCCACCGGGCAGTCTCTTTCTGTTTACGGAGAGAAAGGGGAAATGGAAAAGGCGGGGAGGCGGCGGCTGGCGTTCGCCGCGCCGCCCCTGGGCCAGCTCAGACGCTGTGAGTCAGGGGCCGAGCGCGTAGCTCGGGGCTCACTCGTCCGCTCGGCTCTGGACGACGCGCCACGCTCTGGGGCCTGTCGCCCTGGCTCCCACTTGTGCCACCGCCAGACCTCGGTGCCCTGGCCTGTCCGGCTCCCGAGAGTCGGCCACCAGCTTTGCACCGAGCTTTCGGGGGACCGCGGCTGGAGCACTGAGCCAGCGGGGGCGTGCGGAGGCTGCAGGTAAACCAAAGTTCCGGAGCTCTGGGGTGGTTTTAGGGTCTTGCCCCTCCAGGGTGCTCCGGGGGTTCCCACCGAGAAATGGAGGGCGCCCGCCGCAGAGGGGAGAACTCCGGGACGAAGGGAGGTGGGGGCACGTCTTCCGCACGCGCAGCTGCGCTTCTGTCCTTCGCGCGGGTCTCCGGCTGCACCAGGCACAGCTGGAAAGCACCTTGCGCAAGGGTCTCACGGGGTGCAGAGTCGCGACTCCTCCCCCTTCCTCCTCCTTCCCGGATCTCCAGCGTTCGGGCAGGGCCAGTCTGGGCAGTGCGCGGGGAAGCAGGGACCCGCTGTCGCCGCCTGGACGGCTGCTCTCTCCCTGCCGAGCCTCGGTGAGTGGCCCTCGGAGGCTGGAGGACTTGGCTTCCCTCTGCCTGAATTATGGGTGCCTTTATAATTTACTAGCCCGTCAATGCTCCCTTAGCTTTAAGGGCCAGGAGGAAAGGAGTGGGCATGGGGGTGGAGAGCCTTTCAATGTCTGAAACTTAATTTTATATTTATAACCCAGATTCTATTCTGTGACTAAAGGGTGGTCCTAGCAGAACATGAATGCTGGGATTTTGGTCCAAGAAAGAATGCCAGGAGAAAAGTTATTTCATAGAAGGTGTTTTTCGGTGGTAATGCCATTATCAGGATTTAGAAGGAAGCCTGGCGTGCGCAGGGATTGTCCCAAAAGTTAACAGGGGAAGGCCACGAGCTGTCTTGTGAAATGTTGGGATGCTTGTCTATTTCGCTTTTGGAAAGACATATTTGATAAAAAAGAGGAAAGAAACTCTAATGCTTTACATGCGTATAACCCGAGTCAAGCTGACGCCCCCAACTCTCTCCAGTGGGTTGAGGTTTGTGTGCAGTACGTTTTGGCAGATGACCCTTGAGGACTTTGTTGGATAGTTGAGGCATCTAGAGGTTTGAAACAGTGGTCGTCTTTCTATATGGCTGGAATGCATCATTCTGGGGCTTTTTGAGAACAAAAAATGTAATAAGATATGTGCCAGGAGGGCAATGTACTATTTTGGCAAAAAAATCTTTTAAATGGTATAAGGTATAATCACCCTTTGTTAGGCAGAAGCTTATGCTATAATCTTGGCCATTTTCACTCACACTTGCCAGGAAACACTCAAGTTTTGTTTCTGTTGATGGAAGTAGCCAAGAGTATGCCATTAATGTTTAGGAATAGAATTTCTTCTTGATTTTGTTGCTGATTTCTGCCGTAATTCGAAGTAAATAATTTCGTTTATATTTGCATATCTTTCCATTTCTAAAATTGGTGTAATTTTCTGTACTGCTAGGAAGTAGGAATTTTATGAGGATTTTCATTGTAAACTGTGTCTGGGGGGGACAGTCATCTCATACTAAAAGTCTTTATTGTTAAACTGAAAACCTTCACAATCCACACTTTTTCTAGGTGGATACTGGTCATGACTAACTCAGAAACCATTAGCATATTGTCTGCTAAATTAAGACCTGAAAGTGCTGAGGCTTTTTGCAGGAGCATTTAGCAGGCGAACTGGTCATCAGCGTTGCTGGGGAGTAGAGATTTTCATGACAGGAGCCCTGCGTTGCTAAGGAATTAATGCAGGCACTGAAGAAAATCTGTCAAACATTTCCACCTCGCCTGTCCTCCTTTGTTCCTTCCCCCCTCCCCTGGCAATTTAGGGATGTGTGTACGCATATGTGTTTAACCTCTTAGCTTTTACATATACATGCTTGAGACTTTCTGCAGTATCTAAAAACCAAAACCTGTCTTTCCTCTTTGGATAAGCTGAGTGAATTTGGATTGTAGAGACTTTTTTTCCTCTTTCGTGATTGAGTCATGTTAGTATTGGGAGCTTTATTTTCTATCATGTCATCCATTTGATAGGTAGGTCCAAGAGCCTTGGATCTTTTCAGCCAGTGGGGCCCTAAATTAGGCTGTTTTTCTTTTAACTTCTGTTTTTCCAGTAAATTCTACGAGCAGAAACTGCAACTAAACAGTTCGGTGAAACCAAAGTCAAATGTTCCTCTATTAAACTAAGACGTTCCTTTCGTAACTTAACAGACTCCAAGAACGAACCTGAATCACCATCTCCCTCAAAGATATACAAGATTTCTGAGAGGAAGCTGCCTTTCCTCTCTAGATTTAACTGTGGTGATAACAGCCATCAAAGCATTTCATAGGTTTCTGCCTTTTTTTTTGTCTCTTGTTTCAGATACAATCTTCAAAACTGACTGAAGAAGCCAGGGGAATAGGTAGCCACATCCCATTTGCAGATGAGAAAGGGGGTAATGCAGTATCTGCACAGCCAGACGTCTGATGCAGTTCTCTCTTTATGCACATAAAGCAGCTACAAATGACACGGCTTATTTACTTTGCACCGGACACTGTGCTGAGCACCTTATGCACATGAATTCATTTAATCCACACAACCACCTCATGAGGTAGGCACTGTTATTATTTCCATTTTACGGATGGGGGAAATTGAGGTACAGAGAGGTTAAGGTACTTGCCCAACACCTGCAGGCAGTAATTGAAGGGTGGGGGGGCGGGGCAGGGGCGAGATTCGACCCCAGCAGTCTGAGTCTAGAGGAATGTTAGACTGTAGGATGCTTGCTTGCTACATGGCTTTCCAGTGGCACAATTTGCACATCAGAAAATGACCATCAAGTAAGTTAATAGTGACACTAAATTGTGTAGTTCTTTTGTCAAATGAAATTCACTCAGACTCAGATGGCTGGGTCATGTGTACAGGTGGCCCACGGTGTAGCATTTCCTGGAGCTTTGAACTGAAGCTCCAAGTTGATCTGTGGCTTTCGCACCGAGTGTTGTGTGTGTTAATGGCTTGTGCCTTCAAGAACCTGAAATATCTTTCGGAGAGAGGCTCTGCTTTTAGGAGGACAGTGGTTTAAATAGACATGCTTCAAAAGTCTCTTTGATCTCTCAGATCCTTTTCTCTTTTGGGAAGGAGTTGTTTAAAATCCTTAGTAACAGTGTCACTTTTTACTTTTTCTTCTTCTTTTTCTCATGTACAGATCTCCAAGTGTAGCACCAGACTTGTATTTAAAAACCGAAATGCAGGGCCGGCCTGGTGGCGCACTGGAGAGTGCGCCGCTTGGGAGCGCGGCAGCGCTCCCCCCGAGGGTTCGGATCCCATGTGGAGACCGGTTCCCGCTCACTGGCTGAGCGCGGTGCAGGCGCAGCACCGAGGGTTGCGATCCCGTTGCCGGTCCCCAGTATGGGTGCGACACCGAGGGTTGCGATCCCGTTACCGGTCAGTAAAAAAAACAAAAAGGAAAAAAAAAAACGAAATGCAGTTTTGGCAAATATATTCAGTTGGTTTTTCCCTTGTCTTGTTTATGACAGATTTAGGTTTCCTGGCCCTTTTCTACTACCACAGCTCCTAGAGGGTCATTTATCTACATATTAAATTAATGTTCTGGGACCCTAGAAATGTTTGCTTTGTACTCTTAAAGAATTCTGGTCTCAGTAGGGGACAGCTGCACCACAGGTTAAATGAATTGTGTCCTTTCTCATACTCATCACTGAGAGAACTTGAATTTGAGGCTGGCTGTCCCCCTTCCAGTGAGCTGTTTAATTTATTTGCATCAGAATTATTCCTGAAATTGGACCTATCATCATCAAATCTCCTTAGCTGAAAATCCGTTTTACATGCTTCTGGCTGTCAGGGCCTGGACTTATTTTCCAGGTTAGCTCCTGAATTTAGTAAAGTAATCCTTTTTCTTTGAAGTCACCCAAGGCACAAAAGCCATAGTGATTCTTGCATGGGGGATGCTACTTTGAGGCAACATCTGGGCTGTGCAAGGTTGGAAGCTGTAAAGAGACTGGAGCCTCAGCTCTTCAAAGATTCCTGAGCTGTTCTTTATTCGTGTTTATGTTTAGTGAAAGTTTGTTTTCAGTGGCTGTAGCTGATGCCACCAACTCCCTGAGTAACTAGTAAGCTCTCTGGATCTCAGGTTTCTCCTCTGCAAAGTGAGCTGGACTGAAGGTTATCCAAGGTCCCTTTCAACTCCGCACTGTCAACTTGAATTCACACACGCTATTGACACAGAACCCTCATTTTATAAACAGAGGCATATAGAAGCCGATTCCCAGTCCTTTTATGTCAGTTTCCCATTGGTCTCAAATGCAAATACAAATGTAGTAAGCTAAGTATTTGTGCATTCTTTTGTAGACTCTCCTGAAAGTGCAGCCGTAATGGAGTTCATGAGCACTGGAAGTGACAATAAAGAAGAAATTGATTTATTGATTAAACATTTAAACGTGTCAGATGTAATAGACATTATGGAAAATCTCTATGCAAGTGAAGAGCCAGCAGTTTATGAACCCAGCCTACTGACTATGTGTCAAGACAGTAATCAAAATGAGGAACGTTCGGAGTCTCTGCTGCTAAGTGGCCAAGAGGTGCCTTGGTTGTCATCAGTCAGATATGGAACTGTGGAGGATTTGCTTGCTTTTGCCAACCACATATCCAATACCACAAAGCATTTTTATGGACACCGACCACAGGAATCTGGAATTTTATTAAACATGGTATGTTTTTTCTGATCAGTTGAGTGCTGTGTGTTCAGCTTTACTACTGCAGCTTCTTTTAATGAGAGTAGCTTTCGAACTTGGTTTAGACTGGCTCCCAGGTATGATTTTTAAAAATGTAATTTTCAGTAAGAATCACCTCCATGATGAAAAAAGTCTTCATTAAATGTTCCATTTAAAGAGTCCTGACCATATTTTAGTAGTAGTTCTACAAAAAGGTAATTAAGTAGAATGTATTCTAATTTAACAATTCATTAAAAAGCTCATTTATCATTTATGCAGAAGAAAAAGGCTAAATGAGAATCCATCTGCAAGAGGAATAAACACTTTGTCTCTAATTAATTTTTTTGAAGGCTGAATTATTTGCTCCTCTCTTGTCACATCTTGAAGTATCATAAGATTAATACTGACTAAATTCAATTCTTGCAAAAATGTAGTTTGTAGGCAGTACATAGCTATGCACAGATTCACTCTCTTTAATTGGCAAAGTATGAATGACAAATGATATATTTCCTTAGTCATCCCAAGTATGCAAATAATCCAAAATATTGTAGCAACACTTTGTTGCCACAGTAGTAGATCAGGTGAAGTGTTTACGTGTGTCTGGGATTCTGGCAGACTCTTAACGTGTCAAAGGTGAATGTAGGTGCTGACTAAAGGTGTTCTACTTTTTAAAAAAGAACAATTTGCAAAGGAGTAGGTGGTAACCTGCAAAACTTACTTATTGTTGAGAATGACTCTCTTTCCTTTGGTATATCTAAGTGGCAAAATGGCTAACGTTGGGGGAAAGTCTGTCAAATGAGAGTCTGGACAAAATACTTAATTATTTTGGTTTTTTTGCATACTACATTCATTTAATTAAAAACAACACAGTAATTTAGGTCAACTATGTAGTGAATTGTTTGGTTAGAAGCCAGTTGTGTTCAGCTGTAACTCGATATGAAGCAAGATTACATTTTACATTGCTTTGGTCTGGATATACCAAACTGTATTTAATAGTTGACTGGAGTTTACCTTCTGAATATTGTTTCCTTTTATACATGGGAAGTAATAATCTGAACTAGGAGCAATACCTGATTTTCTTAGCTAAAGTATAGCTGGAGAACTTTGGTTCAAAATAATATATATGTCTATCATAAAGAATATAATTGTGTATGTATTTTTCTCATGTTTTTTATATATTTATTTGTTTAAACGGGTATTCCAAATGAGAACATACAGAATAAACAAATAATTCTTGCTTGTAAATATGTACAGATTAGACTGTGTTTGGCCATTCCCCTGGCCCATCAGACTGATAAGAGATGGACCATAGAACTTCACTGTGAATATAAAGAAGGGAATTCAAGAAAATTATAAGGAAAACAAAGAAATAGCTTTCCAAAGTTTTTAGGAGTGGGGCCAGAAAAGCTAATGCAGAAAAGGAAAGAATCTAAAACATTAAAAGGAAGTAACAATTTTATCAGGAAAGAGTAAGATAAGGTGTTTCATTACCTACCATAGAACCTGTGCTCTGTAAATGAACAAAGAATATTGAGGAGGAAACTTAAGAAGAGGACATATCATAAAGGCAGGGATCTTTAAAACTTAAAAAAAAATTTTTTTTTAAATGAGCAAGAATATAAAATACAAAGCAAGAAAACTGAAAAATAGAATGGAATGAGAAGAGGACCTTAAAATAAACAAGAATGTTGGCCTGGCCTCACTAGGCAAATCAACCCAGGGGTCAATGGCTCTGGGGACCATCGTTGATTTTCCTGTTGCTGCCATTAAAGATCAGATACATCCCTGTGACTGCTAGTAACCTATCACAGGTCTGTGCATAAATAATAACCTAAGAATGGGGGCTTGTCTTCTCTAATCATAGGCAATGCCAGACAGGATGGTACAGGAGGCAAGTCTCACTGTGCCTCTGGGAGCTTGCTGCCTGGTGCGTGTGGAAGGCAGGCGAATAGGCAATTATAATACAGTGTGCCAGTTCCCAGTACAACGATGCCCTGATTGCTCTGGGGATGTGGGTAGAGGGAGGGAGAGCAGCAGCACAGGCTTCCAAGAAGGATGGGTGCCAAAGCCAAGGTCTGAAGCACTGAGTTGGAGTCAGCCAGAGGAAGTGGGGACAGGGGAGTCCAGATGAAGGGAACAGCATGTGCAAAGGCCTGGAGGCACAGAGACCTGGCAAACTCAGGCAGCCAACAACCATGATGCTGTAGAGTTAATAAGACAGGGTGGAGAACCAGGAATTATAAAAATATCCTAAAGCACAGGCATGTTGGGTGGTATTCTGTGTGTGTGTGTGTGTGTGTGTGTGTGTGTGTGTGTATGTGTGTGTGTAAGTGTATGCTATTTTTCTGAAAATAATATTTGTTAAAGATTCCACCAACATCCAGAAAGACCTGGGGAAGAAACTTTAGGGGACTAAACCAGGAATTGCTTTGTGTAAAGAGTGCTACAAGTTATTTATAGTCTAGGCCAATTCATAACCTGACCTGGGGTTGAATAATCTAAAATGGGTTCTAAACACTCAACTCTTTGGTGGTTATACGGGCAGCCAAAGGGCCCCAAAGGATTCATTAATGGATATGAGTGTGAGATGCTGAATGATATTCCTCAGGAGTTAGTCATGGAGTCATGGCTTTTCACAGTTGAAAAGTCCTTAAAGATACTTGAGTCCAGCCCTCTGTCTGATGCTTGAATCACCCCCTTAAACATCTCCAGTAATTGATGGAGCATTTTGGTCTGTGCTTGAACATCTGTCATGATGAGGAACTCATCACATACTGGGGCATTTAGTTTCCTATTTGTCCAGTTCTAAATGGAAGAAAGTTCTTTCTTATATAGAACTAAAATCCATCTCTGACTCCCCTGAGTCCTCGTCCTAATTTTTGGCCATAGAAAAGGTGTATATGATGAACAGTTGTGAAGACTGTGGGCCTTGAATTCAGCACCTGGGTATGTAGCTCAGCTCTGAAATGGCTTAGCTGCCTCAGTTTACTCATCAGTAAAGTGGTAGCGTGATGGCGTTTACTCCATAGGATTATTGTTTGGAATGCATGTGACCTGCTTACACAGTGAGTGTTTAATGAATGCAAGCCATTGTGATTGTAGTTGTTGTGTGCAATTGTTACTCCCCTTCCTTATGACAGTTCTTCCAATATTTTAAAAATTGCGTGCTCCTCAGGTCTTCTTTCTTCTTTCACAACCATTTCTAATTGTGTTTGCTACTTCTCATGTAGAGTAGTGTTAACTTTTCCATCATCTGGGTAGTGCCCCTGAACTTGAGCTTATGCCAATGCCAGTGCCAATCTTATAGCCCAGAACTTGAACATGGGGGTCCATGTGTTGTGTGACCAGCATAGAAGGACAGAGCCAGCTGTGGCTTCGTTCTCGATGGTATGGCTCTGATATCACATCTGTTCCATAGTAGCCATATCACACAGATCACTTATGGAATTTATTCTTACTAAAATACCTAAGAATTTTTCTTAAGTGCCACTCCTGGGCCTAGCATTGTTTAGTATAGACGGTGGTCTGGATGAAGAAATAGAAAGCGTGCTTATCATGTCTGCACTTGAAGATGACTTTGGTAAGTTGAGGAATGGGAGAAAGAAAGACAGCATAGAGTTCCATAAGAGGGAGGGTCCCCTAGAAAGAAGAAACCTCCCTTAAATCCAAATAGGCAACGTCTGGGGCTCAGGAAAGAGCCAGGGACTTTGCAGAACTGCAAACTGGTCAGGACTTGGACATCACACTGGAAGTTCAGGGCTTATCATCAAAGTAGCCATGGAAAACTCACGGGGCATTCAGAGCAGGGTCCCCAGAACACAGGAGGTGGCAAAATAAGGCTGAAGGAATTTGCAGTATTCAACCTAAGTAGGGGAGAGCTAAGGTGTACTTGGTGGCATGTAAATGCAGGCTTTTAATAACTGGGTTTTCCTCATAGCTCAGCTTTAATTATAGCCTTCTAGAAGATAAAAGGCTCTTCCCCAAAGACTAGGAACTGTAGCTTTGGGATCAGACAGACCTGAGTTTGAATCCCAACTCGGGCCCTGACTAGCAAGTTACTTAGCCTCTTGAAGGCAGTTTCCTCATCTGTGCATTAGAGATAAAAATAGTCCTTCCCTCAGAGGATTGTGGTAGACTTGGATGAGATAGCGTGTTACAGTACTGAGCACAGTGCCTGGCCCACAATTAGCACTCAGCACAAGGCTGCTATTGTTACCCTTGGTTCTCTTGAACAGAGAAAGAGGACACTGGGTCGGATTGGGAAATAACACATTAAGGTTGGACAAAAGTAAAACCTTCACGAACGTGAGTTAAACACTGAAATGGTGAACTGCAGGGCGCAGTGAATTAGATCTGTAAATATTTAATAACAAGAGAGAGGAAACAAGCGAGCCAGCTGATTACTGTGAGTATGGTTCTGTCTGAATGTGGAAAGAGACTGAATTCACCACGTTGTTGGCATGCTGCAAAAAGAAGCCTCTGGCAACTAGAAGTGACACACTCCTTGAAAGGAGGTCATATTTTGAACAAGGCAAGACCGTGGTCTGTATGTCTTCATATTCCCTCTAGATCCCTATGCAGAAACACTCAGTAAATATTTAATCTGTAAATTTAGTGACTTTGCATTTCTAAGTATTAGAGTTATTTTCTGCTTCATTCCCTGACTAATTAGTGAACACATCGCTTTGTGGGATCTGTAGCTAAAATTAGCCAGAATGGAGGCCAAATGAACAAGCCTTAAGGTTACTAGAACTCTTCCTGTAGCAGTGGCCCAGTGGGGAGCCTTGGGCATCTGCAGATGAATCAGGGCTTTATTCTTTTCTCATGCGGTAGATTTGGGGGGTTATCACCTTCCCCTTCAGCTTGAACTTGAAATAACTCAATGTCCTTGGATAGTTTCATAATTCTTAAATTCATAACCTGAACCGACAATATTACTAATCACATTTAGAAGAAACTAGTATTTTTGAGACTGTTTATCCCTTGAAATGACACTTTAGACATCTTTTAGGCATGTCCTCCAGGTCATATTTCCTATAGATTACTATATTAACTTTTTTCATTTTAGTGATAATTATTTTCGCTTTTTCCTCTTTAGAGATTGAGATATACTTTATATGCAGTAAAATACACAGCTCTTAAATGTCCAGTTTGGTGAGCTTTGGCAAATGCACACACCCTTGTAACCCACATTGCTGTCAGGATATATCTCATTTAATTTTGAGGTTGACTGGTTTTGAAACATCTAGTTCTAAATGTTTGCTTGCTCTTGAACTCTCAGAGGTCAGGGATCACCTGTCTCTTGTTTGTGGCTGCCTCCTCAGTGCCAAACATGGTACCTAGCTTATACTATGCGCACAGTAAATATTAAATGAGTAAGTAGATGAGAAATAATTGAGCCCTTGCTTTGTTTATGTAGCACTGTCAACTCATAGCTCTGGCATAACACATTGTTTTCCAAAATCCTCCGTGATCGTCAGTTAATTTCCACACTCTCTCTGTGTGCATCACGGTGAGCAATAGCTATGTGGACTAACAGGTTAGCACATGTTAATAGAAACAAGTCAACCTGCAGGCACACTTTATATCTATGCAATCTTTATTTTCAGCCTTTTGGTCACGCAGTCATGCTCCCTTAAATAAATAATTTTCAAAGTTCTATTTGGCAACTAATTACTCATGAGAAGATGGAAATAGGACCAGGTCTGACCAGGGACCTATGTCTGTTACATGCTTTCTCTGTCTTGCTCAAGCTCTAAATATAGTCCTTGTACAGTGTTAGGATTACACATGGCGACACTGATTTCAAACACTGTGTAAGAATGCTTCTGAAATAACAAACTTCTAATGGGTGGGTCCTAGAAACAGCCAACTTTGCTGAAATTCTCACCCTCTCCTGTTTTTATTTTGTTCTAGGTAATCACTCCCCAAAATGGACGTTACCAAATAGACTCAGATGTCCTACTCATCCCTTGGAAGCTGACCTACAGGAATATTGGCTCCGATTTCATTCCTCGGGGGGCCTTTGGAAAAGTGTACCTAGCACTAGATATGAAGACAAAGAAAAGAATGGCGTGTAAGCTGGTATGTACTTTCAAACCAGACAAGGCTCACTGTTTGTTTGGCATTCTGGCTTTTGTTTGTTTTTTTTTTTAGTTTGCATTAACCAAAGGTTCTTACTCTTTGACTGGATCTTACCTAAGTGTACCTTGCACCAAAGCCTTTGTTTTTCTGGATTTGCTTGCTTCTTGGGCCCATTCAGCCCCTAAACCTTGGCTTAGGTGCATAGTTGCTTTTAATTCAGTTTGTTGACGATTAAAAGGAAAGTGCTGGCTTCCTGAGCAGCAGTTTGGATAACATCATCTGTCTTGAAGTGGAATGGAGGGTAACTGTCCTGCAGTGTGAGAGCCAATCTACGTGCTGCTCGCAGAGAAGCAGCAACTGGGAAAACAAAAGTCTTCCCAGGACTGCAAATTGAAAGGGCAGAATTTAATACACCAATTATTGAAAAGATCCCATCTCTTCTTATTAAACAGTAACTGCTGAAGTGCCGCCACTTTGGAAAACTGTTTGGTAGTATCTCCCTAAGCCAAGTATTCACACACCCTATGACCCAACAATTCCACTCTCGTAGGTACACCCAACAGAGGCATGTCCACGTGGTCACTAAAAGCTGTGTAGTAGCATGTTCATATCAGCACTGTTTGTAAGAGTTACAAACTGGAAACTTTCCTAGGTGCAGAAATGTGGTATATTTACACAATGGAATATTGGACAGGAAAGAGAATAAATGATTTACAACTATAACAGTGTAGGTGAATCTCATAACCATTATGTCAGACCAAAACAGCCAGACACAAAATAAGACATACTGTATGAGATTCCATTTATATAAAGGATAAAAACAGGCAAAACAAATCTGCGCTGCTGGACGTCAGGACAGTGGGGAGTAGTGACTGGAAGGGGTCAAAAGGGGGTTTCTTGGGTTCTGTTTTCTGATTTAGATGGGGGTTACATTTATGTGTTCAGTTGATCATTTGTTGAGTTAGACACTTACTGTTTTTACACTTTTATGTTCGTTTTGCTTTAATTAATTTTTTAAGTGCAATAAAACAAAATATACTCATTTTGATTAACAAAAAATACAATAAAAAGTAATTGCTGAATATTATGTATCAGTCTCTCTTATCATAATTAAAAGACCAGCAGTATGTTGGCCTCATACACTTCTTCATAAGGATTTGCTAGAGTATCTATTATTAAAAGGAAAAAGAGGAAGAATTTTGATAAGCTGTTTGAGGCTTACGTTTAGAGGATACATGCTCAAATTGTTTTAAAAAATCTAAAGATTTTTTATAAAGGTCTTAGAACCAAAGTGTCTCTTACTCAGTTTCATCAAAAAAAACATTGGAAAATAGCTTTGTGGATGTGTTTTCCTTGTAGTATTGTATTCGTCCATTTCTGTTGCTTATAACAAAATACTTCAAAATGGGTGATTTATAAAGAAAAACTAAATTTATTGCTTACAGTTTCTGAGGCTGGGAAGTCCAAAGTCCATCCAGTGATGGTGACAGCGACCCAGGGGTCTCACATTGCAAGATTGTGGAAGCAGAGAGAGAGAGAGAGAAAGACAGACTCCCCTCTTCTTTTAAAGCCCTCAGAACCACACCCCTGACCACCATTTTTAATCCATTCACTATGGCATGGTCCTACAATCCAATCACCTCTTCAAGGCTCCACCTTTCAATTACCATAATAGGATTTTCCCCCCTCTTAACAGTCACAGTGGGGCTAACTTTCTAATACATAAAACTTGGGGGACACAATTCAAGCTTCAGTGAGTTTGGGGGGATATAATTCAATCCACTGCATGTACTTATATATAATTTTTAAGCTCATTTTTTCTAAAAAAGAAAACACAGATGATTGAAAGCCTCAAACAGGTTCAAAAAAGTGTAGATTGAAGAATGAGATCCCCTTCCTTGAGGCAACTCCTCTTAATGGGCTCTTATGCGTCCTTCGTGAAATTTTCTATGCACGTATGTGTGTATAGTTTAAAAATTTTGTACAAATGGGAACATAAAATATGTACTTCAGCATCTTGTTTTTTTCACCTGCTACTATATTTTTGAGATATTTACAAATCTATCTGCACTGAAAGAGCTACTTCTTTCTTTATTATTAACTGTCCAGTTTTCCATGGAGTAGATGGATAACCAATGTTTATTTTAAATGCATTGCTAGAGTATGAACTGTGGGACCAAAGACTTTATATTATCTCACAACAAGTTGAAATATTAAAAATATAACTCAAAATCTAGGTGCCATAGAAATTATATGTATAATGTTGGGATATTATCATGCTTGATTTGTTCCTGATTTTAAAACCTTGGTTGGATTTCTAGACTCTAAATGAAAATTTCACAATTTTGTTTTGTGTTTTATACCTAAAGCTGAAGGCAGCTCTGAGGTAAACATTATTTTAACTCAGCAGTGCAGTTTCATAAAGGTCTTGAAGGCATATATTTGCCTGCTGGTTTGTGGGTTGATCTGTATAGTATATTTTAAAAATTATCTCAGGATTGTTGAGAATCTTGCTCTCATTACTGTGTTCTAGATCCCAGTGGATCAATTTAAGCCGTCCGATGTGGAAATCCAGGCTTGCTTCCGGCATGAGAACATCGCTGAGTTATATGGTGCAGTCCTTTGGGGTGAAACTGTCCATCTCTTTATGGAAGCAGGCGAAGGAGGGTCTGTTCTGGAGAAGCTGGAGAGCTGTGGACCAATGAGAGAATTCGAAATTATTTGGGTGACAAAGCATGTTCTCAAGGGACTTGATTTTTTACACTCAAAGAAAGTGATTCACCATGACATTAAGCGTGAGTATCTTTGGATGTATCCCTTTTTGGCTTAAAGAGACTAGTTATCAGGAGGCAAATGGGGTCTTCCCTTCAGTCTGAAAATGCTTAGTGGCAAGGAGGACAGCTCCCTTGGAGCATGGCCCACCTTCCTTCTTTACGCTCCTGAGACATGTGTTAGAATCAAGTGGGGTTGCTGCAGCTTTCAAAGTCGTAGGGAAGGATGATCACCCAACAGTTGTTGAAAAGATTCTGGCCACACCAGAAACTTTGTGCCCTTGTTAACAAGGCTTTCAAAATAGTAATTTACTTAAACACATACATGCAGTCATGTATTTTTGAGAAACAAATAGCTTTTTAATTTTGAACATAAGTTTGACAGTAATCGACTAAACAAGCCTTTGCTGATTGCCTTCTAAGAGTAAGATGTGTGGTGAGGAGACAAACAAGAGAGACCCACTAGCAGCCTGTGATCCCTGGTGCTAAATTGGACTAGCACAGCTTTCACTGGGAAAAAAATGAGTATTTTACTTTTTTGCTTTAGAAAAGTGGCTTGCTAATAAAATAGTATGTTTCTAACTTAGAATTTGAAACTCAAGCTCTTGAACATTATTAATGGCTACAGTCACTTATACCCACATTGGCTGAATTCTTGAGGGATCTGAACTGATTTTCACCTAAACTCTCCCTGCGATTCACCATCCTCTTTCAAATGTGATAACACACCCATCTCATTAGGGAAAGCATTTCAATCTGTTCTGATATGGGATTCATTGTTGTTTTAGATAATGTTTTCATTTTATTTATGGATATATAGCTGATTTTATGCTAAAAATTGCCTTCTCATTATAGCAAGCAACATTGTTTTCATGTCCACAAAAGCTGTTTTGGTGGATTTTGGCCTAAGTGTTCAGATGACTGAAGATATCTATTTTCCTAAGGACCTTCGAGGAACAGAGGTAATTATATTCACACGAAAATGGTTAATATCTTATTAAAAGTAAAAAGAAAAAATTTTCTAAGATTACTATGGGAAAGAAGGACAAAGAAGAGGAAGAAAATCAGTGCATTAAATCATTATTATCACTGGAACAAATTTAATGATCACTTGCTCTGTGCCCAGGACTAAGTATAGCACTTTATTTATTTATTTATTTATTTATTTTTGCTGTGTTATTTATAATACACAATCATATTTGTAATATATTCTGATATATATGATATAAAACATTTGGAAGTAATGAAATGCAAAATTGATATTAACCACAGATTTAAAAAAACAACTATGGAATTATAGTTAACTTTATAAGTTTAGCACTTTAAATGAATTATGTTATTTAATCCTTACAACAACCCTGTTGTTGGTAAATACTATTATCGTAGGCAGGTACTATTATTAATCGCATTTTACAATAAGGAAATAAGCTTGAAAAGATTAAAATAAAGTGCTCAAAGTTACCCAGCTAGTGATAGATCCCAGACTTGAACCCTGTTCTTTCTGAGTCTAAGCCTAAGCTCTAACCACTATATAACTTATTAATATAACTAATATATTATTAAAGTATAAAACTAATATAACTAACATCACTAAGTTTTGGTCCAATTATAGTCTTAATTATCATGGTCATTAATATTTATCGAGCACTGACAAGGCTTATTTTTAATCCTAGGGATCCTATAATCAACCTCAAGTAGTGAGCACAAATAAATCTTATTTGAAGATATAAAATAGTTATAGTATTTAACTAATCTGTGAAGCAAAAAACAAAACCAAACAAAAAACAAAAAGTATTTCCTGAATCTACATTCATGGGCTTTCAAATAATACATTTGACTTCACATCCACATTATTGAACTGAATGATTGATTCATTTAGCAAGCATTTATTGAGCATCTGCTATGTGGCAGGCTGTTGTGGACACCAGACAGACAAGGCTAATGAGGACTGTGCCCCCAGTGGTATTTCAGCGGTCCCCACACTTTGTTGGAAGGACCTATTTTAAATGTACTGTAATTATTTAAAGTTCAGCAATTTAGTTTACAGTAGGCTATGATGGGCTTGGGGTCGGATGCAACTGGGAAGGGAAATGGTGCAGAAGCTGCCCCTCTGGCCCCTCTGCACGACCATGGAAGCTTCACTGCTTGAGCCGCCCCATCCCATGCCCTTCTCTCTGCAGGAAGTGCCCATGGGAAACAGAGAGAGGGTCCTTGGCTGCACCTGGGCCTCAAGTTACCAGATTCATCTTGGTGTCAACCAGAGGACAACCCTTTGTTAGCTAGTATATGTGCTGCACTGAACTGAATCACAGTGAAAAAAAATCATCTTCTTTTCAAATCAAGATTCTATAAGCCTTTTCTTAACTCTCTCAAAGCAAAGACTCTCCTGAGCAGCAGAAAAAAGTCTTGTGTTTGATATTACTGACATTATTACTGGCAAATACTTGAGAGAGGAGTCTTTATAGTCTTTCAGCAGAATAATATTCAGAAGAGAAAACTAGATTTTTTTTTAAGAGTGTTTAGTCCCCAGATCTTAAGAATACTTCACAAAAGCACAAAATCTAATAAGACTTAATGCTTACGACATGTTTGCTTTGGAAACTGTTTCAGCATATTTTGGCATTAGTCAGGAATTCAGATATGTAACAGTCCACCCTTTTTCCTGGAGCCAGTTTAAGAAACAAACTATTTATGGTATTAAAGATGGAAAATACCTTTCTCTTCCTGGCAATGTGGTCAAATTGAACATTTTGCAATGCTGGAGAAAGACACGTCCTTTCTGGGATTCTCTATCAGAATCCTTGGATATAGAATAATTGCATATTTCACTCCCAAATAGTATTTGGATCACATTATTTTCAGCAAATGCAAATTGCTTTTTAATGCAAACTGCCAATGCAAAACTGGCTTTGGTGTTTGTTCATAGTTATAAACTCTCTTCTAAACAACTTGCATTTACTAGCTGTACAGTACTCACAAGTCGAAGTTTGATAATGAGCAAGGTTGTGAAGTCACCAATGAAACATTTCACCAAGTGTGCTTTTACTCTTCACACTTAAAGAGCCAATAAGATATAATTAGACAGAAGCAACCATGCAGATTTTCTTCCATTAGAACTTGATCACATGGCTACTGCATAGCTATAGTCAATTTCTGATCTCCCCAGTACAGCTCACAAATACAAACACTGGTCACCTCTGTTTGATCCCTCTCTCTCTCTCTCTCTCTCTAAGCATTCATACTCAGAACATTATATTGTAACCATGTAATATATATACAGGTTAATATGGCATATATTTAATCTATGGTTTTTGAGTTATATGGCACAGAGAAAGAATAAATGGTGAATGTAAACAATGAATTAGAATTCTTTATATCATGGTCTTTTTTTAGAAGTTCTTATTTTCTTCTGAGTCTCTTTGGTTTTGCCTTCTGTAATCATCACATGCACACATCACATATAATCATCACGTGCACACATACAGAGACACACCGTCTCCTTCCCTTTCTAATAAACATGCTGAGAAGTGAAGGCTAGATCCCACCATCAAGATTCCCTTGCTCCAGTGACCATGCCTGGGGACGTAGAACTCTCAGGGAACCTTGCCTTTGTCTCACCAGGCCTGTTTGGTGCCTTCCAGTCAGCTAGGCTGAAGAGTGCTGGAACATCATACCCTTCTGCTCTCTGGTCTGGCTGTTCTGGCTCTTGCAAAGCTTGAGGAAGCAGGATCTCTGAGCCATGAAGCTCTGTGGGTCTGCCTAGGGGCAGCACCCGGGCCACCAGGTTGGACAGGATATTGATATCCCCTAATCCTGCAATGGTGTGCAGTCCCATGGAGCTTGCAAAGCCACCTGTGTGCAGCTACTGCAATGGTGGGCACTTTGCCTAATCCTTGCTTTATTCGGGGGGCAGGGAGGAGATAGGCATTCTCTCTTGACAGCTAATAATACTGCATTTCTATTTTTTTTCTTTTTCTTTTAATTTTATTCGATTGTAGTAAGAACACTTAACATGAGCTCAACCCTCTTAACAAATTTTTAAATGTACAGTACATCATTGTTCACTCGTAGGTACAATGTTGTGCGTTTATTTTTTAATTTTGTTGATTTTATTTAGTAAGAAAGTCCTTCAAGATCCAAATACTCTGTCTTTGCTGCAGGGAAAGTTTGAGATAAGAGGCTTAGTGTAGCCTGTTTGCTGTGAGTGAAAGGAAGCCAGCCCGGAAGTGTGTTGTAGGAAGGAGTTGAACAGGACTAGGGTGGGGAAACCGGGCAATTTCCCCAGTTTTTGTAAGCTAGTTCTCTCCTTATTTACTCTGAAATGTATTTCAGGAATACTAGATGCCTTCCCCATGTTCATGCAATAGACGGTATACAAACGTAAAGCTAAATATTGGTAATTAGGATGTTTGCTATATGTCTGTACCGGTGATAAATACAAATCACTGGCCACCAGTGTTTGCTCTCTTTATCTCTTTCTTTTTTAAGTTTAGTAACAAACACGTCTTAGAGAAATTATTTATAAAACTAGCCCTACTTATTCAGCATCAACTTATGAAACATCAGTAGAACTTATACAGTGTTAATACTGCATTGAGTGAGTGGGAAAAAACACACCGAAGCCTTTCCTATACTTACATAGCAACAATCAACAACACAGAAGATCAACTTCTGCCTTCTGTGACCAAATGTGTGGGGATTTCTCCCCACCAGCCAGCAAGCAATTCTCTAGGGGACATCAGCTGCTGGGCGTCCTCTAATTCAATTCAATCTCGACACTGTCAGTCTGGAGATAGTGTCAGATCCTACAGGGTGAGGGCTCAGTCCTCAAGATTGTCCCCACTTCAGATGCCAGTCTCAAGTCCAGGCCTCTGGAACATCTGACCAACCAGCTATAAACCCATGTTCTCACAGCTCCCTCCTTGGGTTCGATTAGTTTGCTGGAGCAGCTTACAGAACTCAGGGGAACACATCCTTACATTTACTGGTTTATAAAAAAGGATATTACAAGGGATACAGCTAAAGAGATGTATGGGGTGAGGTGTGGGAGAAGGGCGCAGAGCTTCTGTGCCCTCCCAGGTGCACCACCCTCTAGGAACCTCCATGTGTTTACCTATGTGGAAGCTCCCTGAACTCTGTGCTCTTGGGTTTTTATGGAAGCTTCATTACATAAGCATGATTGAAGCATGGACAACTGTGTAGAAACACGATTGGATAAAACGGGTGTGATCTAACACTAATAGACTGAGTGGGGAAACCCAGCAAGGCCTGTCCGTTCAGATTTTTCCTGGCCTCTCCGTGCAGCATTCCCTCCTCCTGGGCATGGGGTGGGACCCTTCATGAAATGGGGGTCTTATGACCTACAATCAGCTAAGGTAGGTTAGGGATTTTCCTGCCTCAGGGAGAAAAAGGAGCAGGAGAAAGGAGAGGATAAGTTCAGAGAGTAGCATGAGCCAGGAAGCATGGACGAAAATCGGTATATAAATATCATAATATCACAGGCATGCATTTAATATTTAGTCACTGGGCTGCAAGAAATGAGGTAGTTCATAGAAATGACTCATTGGATTACTTTTGCAGCATTACATTTTATTCTTTAAGTTCTTTCCTTCCAAGCGATTGGCATTAATACCCTGTAGGCTACTGCCACCTTTATCACTATAGATAATTGGCGATTTAATAATGAACAGGTGAAGAAGTATGTTTGTAGCATCCATTTAAATATGAAAGGAATTGGTGTTTTAATTGAGAAATTAACTACCCCCATCAGTGCTTTGTAGAACTCTGATGAGTGGGAGTCCCAGGTGAGTTCTTGGTTCCAGGCCCTTCGCTGCCAGATCAACCATGTTTTTCCTCTGTGGAAAAAGATGTTCTTTGTCAGACTGCAGAGACACCTCCAGCCAAGGCTGCCTGGTTCCCAGAGAATGTCTGCATTATTCTCCTTAGCTTAAGGGAACACAGCAATGGCATTCTCTTCCGAAGGGGTGAAGCATGCAATAAATATGATAAAGGTGAATGGGCCAATTTCCAGAACTGGATTATGGAAATGGAAAACCAGACCAGTCAGGCTGATGTTTCCCCCTTCTTTTTCAGATTTACATGAGCCCAGAGGTAATCCTGTGCAGGGGCCATTCAACCAAAGCAGACATCTACAGCCTGGGGGCCACACTCATCCACATGCAGACGGGCACCCCGCCCTGGGTGAAGCGTTATCCTCGCTCAGCCTATCCCTCCTACCTGTATATAGTAAGTGGGGGTCCACCAGGGCTGGGCGCAGGTGTGAGTTCCACCTGTTGGGGATGGGGAAGTGCTCTACCTTTCTATAGCACCCACACCTGAAGGGGTTGATGGCAAAATAGTGACCCGTGAGAGGTGGCTGCAAGTTCTTCCCACATGGAAGGGGACTCCGTTCTTGCAAAGAAAACATTGCTGTTTTAGTGGGAACTTACCAAAGTGTGCATTGGGCATAAATTATATTCTATTCATTATACATGTAATAATAAAATACTATTCAGTAGCATCAGAGTAGCATACATCTTTCAGCCAAGGAAGTCATATTTGTTCTTTGAACACTTAAAAAGAAATAAATATTAGATAATTGCTCTCCATACCAGTCTGGCAGTGGAACATGCAGCTCCTATTTTTACTGTTGAGGAATTCAGGAGCAGAATTTCCCCATTACCTCAAAGGGACCTTTGGGCCACTGATGTGAAACTGTCACTGCTTATTCCAAGCTAGCCTATATCTTTTACAGCATTAAAGCAAAAGATGGGTTTAACGCACCGTCCTTAGGAAATTAAGAGGAAGCTTGGTTAAGGGTATGAACTGTATTTGCTGCAGGGCATGTGGTGGGAAACAAATTCCATTCCAGATCTAGAATGCTTCTCCCATTGAGAGTATATTTCCATACCATTGATGCTTAGACTGATGCTTTGTTGACAGATCCACAAGCAAGCGCCTCCATTAGAAGACATAGCAGATGACTGCAGTCCAGGCATGAGAGAGTTGATAGAGGCTGCCCTGGAGAGGAATCCCAATCACCGCCCAAGAGCAGCAGACCTACTAAAACATGAAGCCCTGAACCCCCCCAGAGAGGATCAACCACGCTGTCAGAGTCTGGACTCTGCCCTGTTTGAGCGGAAGAGGCTGCTGAGTAGGAAGGAGTTGGAACTTCCTGAGAACATCGCTGGTAGGGACACCTGCTGTGGGCAGTGCCTTTGCTTCTCTTCTCTTTCTGTCCACATCAAACCTCTGATGTCGTTCTTTAAGCACTTGGAAAACTAGGAAATGACTTCTTGAGTACCATACATTGCTTGAGAAATTTCAGCAAGTATATTAACAAAAGCATTTTTTCTTAAAATTGGCTAATTTACCACCAAATTATAATAAATTTTCAGTGCAAGTGTAGGTAACATGGTTATTGGAAACTGCCGCTGACTTGCTTTTTTGCAACAGAGACTATCATTTGGCTTTAAAAGCAAACCAAGCATGACAGTTTTGCTGTTGGTAAAAGACGAGGTCCTATTTAATTCAGTTATGGCAAGCAAGTGCAGTCCTTGGTTGGAAACTTCATGGCCCTGCTCTGCCCAGATAAAATATTGAGTTTGAAGTCAACTTGCATTTCTGTCTTCCTCTGCTTAAAAATTTCCTTGCCAGCTATGAATCTTTCCCACTTAGGAAAGTCAGTATGCATTCCAGGAGCATCAAATATGCAATGAGAAGGTTTTCCATTTTTCTTAAAAATCTGTGGCATTCTTAATCCATTTAGCCCAAACCCAGATGTCAAGCCTGGAATACTTATTTGCATTTCCCTGCTTCTTGTCTGACTTTTTTGTCGTTAAGGAGAACTATCTGGGCTGTTGGAAAATATGCCAGGATTTCTAACTAATTTCTTATCTTTATTGACTCCTTTTTGAACTCTTTGGTCTATGTCATATTACATAAACTAGCCCATAGTGCCAAAGACCAATATTTAACAAAACCAGAGCTCAGACATGTTTCATGAGGTTCCAACGTATTGTTTCTTTGCAGAAAGAACAGGTATTTATCATTGGACATGCTCCCTTGTCACTTATGTTATTTTTTCAATGTTTCCCTTTTCAGATTCTTCATGCACGGGAAGCACTGAAGAATCTGAGGTGCTGAAGAGACAACGTTCTCTCTACATAGACCTTGGAGCGCTGGCCGGCTATTTCAACCTTGTTCGGGGTCCACCAGCACTAGAATATGGCTGATTGATGGTGGCGTGTGCTCTAAATTAAGACAGCATTTATCTGCTGGACGTTGGTTCTGCTGACTCTCCACAGTGGCTCTGTATAGTGAATTGTGGCATTTATTGGGGGGCAGGGTGGGCTCCAATGACTCATGAGTGGGACTCCAAGTGACCCTTGTGCGTTTGATTTGTGAAGCTGCTCTAGTATACACCAGGTCTAAAGTTCTCATTTCTCAGGTGGTGTGACTCAAAGGAAAGACGTTTAGAGCTCATGGAGGGATCATTTCTGGTGACTGATTCTATTCACTGTGCACTTTGCTCAAAATTTTAAAAATACCAATCACAAGGATAATATATTAGCCTAAAATTACTATTCCTGGTTCTCATGGGATCTTCATTTAACTCAGAATAGTTGTTTTGTGTATATTGGTGTAGACTTTGTCAGTAGATTTTAGTATAAATTGAATTCATTATATTTAGGTGAATAGAACTTGGTTTTTGTAGCAATAAGCTGAACTAGTGTCTTAAAATGGCTGGTAAATTAGGAGCCATCTGACAGCAGGCCACTAGTGACAGTTTCTGTTCTGTTCCTATGGAAACATTTTGTATTGTACATGCTATGCTTAAAACATTTAAAACACGATGTTTTAAATGTGGATAAAACTGTGTAAACCACATAATTTCTGTACATCCCAAAGGATGAAAATGTGAGCTTTAAAAAAATGGAAACTTTTGTAAATTCTTGATAATGCTACTTTTGTAATTTTTATGACTCTATTTTCTTTTAAGCATTTGTATATTAAAATAGCATACTGTGTATGTTTTATATCAAATGCCTTCATGAATCTTTCTTTTATATATATATTTAAAATTGTAAAATATGTGAGTATTCCTACTGAAAGTATGTTTTTACATTATGCAAATGAACCCCAACACTTTTATCCAATGTGATTGGTCACATCACTGAATAAATTCAGTATTTTGCCTTAATTATTGTAGAGTGTGATTTCCAGCTGGGACTGGGGATGGGTCATGGAGACTGGGTTATAGGTTGGAGGGGAAACTATCACAAGCAGGCAAAAAATATCTGGGAGTTTTGCAGATTGCATGTTTCTCTTCTACTGCTGCTCAAGCCACTGTTGTCAACTGGAATGTGTTGTACCCCTCGGGTACATTGAAGTAGAATAATTGTGAGCCACTGGTGTAGGGTAAGTGAGGCTCTACTGTGCATCTTGTTTTTATTCATTTATACTACCCTCAAATACACACTTGCATGCTGTTTGCCCATTATTGTTTGGCAAGTTCATAACTAACTTGCCTCTGTGTAAGGTAGATTTAAATCACATACACCACGTTCTAGTGAAAACTATTGAGAGGGAGAGTCTGATCCGTCACTCACAGAGTGAATAGTATTAAACACTTTTATATGTGTTACATAAAACACACCATCCCTTGTAATCCTCACAACCCACACGTGAAATATGCATTGTTACCTTTTTTTGTTCAGAAAGGGAAATTGAAACATAGTGAGGGGTAGATACCTTTATGCTCAAGATCACAAAGCAAATAGAGCTGGTGTTGGAACCCAGGCCTTTGTGACTCCAATACTGCTGTTCTTCCTCATACAATGCTGCTCATGGTGACAGATCATGTCACTGCAGAGGAAGCACAGTGGGATTCAGTGCCCTATGTGAAGGCGGAGGTGGAGTCATCTCAAAGCTAATGAACTTGCAGCCTCAGGGCTCCTCATGTGCATGGGCTCCTCCATGGCCCTGTGCCTGATTTCATCTTATCCCAGATTAGGCCCAGCAAAACTTGGATCAGCTCTTGGGTAAAGTACTGTGTATAGCTTTTGATGACATTCATGAAAAACTTACAGAGTTCATATGAATTGAGTTTCAGTTAACAAATTCCATTTGGAGAAGACGATTGCTTTTAAATAAACTGGAGCTCTTGTGCAGAGATCTGGGGATTTTGCTGCGAGCTGGTCAGCGGTGGTGGCGGTTGAGGAAGTGGCTATGAGAGGCAGCTACAAGGGGAAGTCCGGGCTGAGGCCTGTGCACCGAGCTCCTGCAGAGCTGTTTACCTGGGAGGCCAACAGCTGCAGCCTGGGATGTGTCACGAGACAGAATCAGTTTAAGAGAAGCATGGAAGCCTTGACTGAGTAGCAAGGGAACCCATCACCCACCTCCTGAGGAGATGGGCAGTGGGACTGTCAGGGTTGAGTGTAGCTAGGACAGAATAATCACATCCTGAAACCAATTTCTGCCCCCTTTGGTAATTCCTGCTTCAACAGCAAGCCCCTGATTGCTCAGTGGCATTGGGATGCATTATGATGCATTATGGAAAGTAGACTGGGCCTTTCCAGCTCAGGCCATAGAGTTCATCTTGTCTAAGCACCTTGATAGACAAATGCTTGTTGGAGGCCACATGATCAATGCTACACCCCATCTTCCCATCTTCACTAGCCACCTTGTGTTAGCCCTGAGGTCTGTAAAATCACTGGAAACAGATGATAAAGATTACCCACCAGAAATTTGCTGAACCTAACTGGAATTTTCCCAGGTTGGAGAGACAGTTCCTATCTGCGGAATAGCCAGCTCGAGCAAAGTTTCCACCAATGTCTGCCATGCCACCAAGCACCACGGTTGGATATGAGAGGGATTCTCTCAGTGCCCTGGGTTCCTCCCTGGTGCGTGCTCACTGTCTGACAGACACAAGCAATTTGAACTTTTATTGATGGCAAATTCCTGTGGTGTGATTCAATATAAAAGCCACTATTTTTCTAGAGGGCCTGGGGTTTTTTTTCATAGGTCTGCAAGGTGATTGGGAGTAAAGAAAGCTTGATGCCAAGCCCCACGGCAGACAGGAGGGAATGCACCCAACAGGAGAGCAGGCCTGTTAATGGAGAGTTGAATCCTGAAGGGGAACCAAGTCTGGTCAGAAAATTGTGCTGGGCCTTTCAGGGCACACAAGTGAGAGAGGGTCCTAGCCCTTCTTACTCATCCAGTCCCTGCTGAAAAAAGCATATTCCATGTTGGAATTTCTAGAACGTTCTTTGTTTTTATTTACATTCCCATCTGTTCCCAAAGAGATTTTTTTTTTTTTTTTTTTTTCCAAACATTTAATTTCAGGGGGGGGGGGGTCCCAACCTCTTTTTTTTTTTTTTTTCCTTTTTGTCTTTTTTCGTGACCGGCAACGGATCGCAACCCTCAGTGTCACGCCCGTACCGGACCGGGACCGGCAACGGGATCACAACCCTCGGTGTTGCGCCTGCACCTCGCTCAGCCAGTTGCCGCACCTCGCTTAGCCAGTGAGCAGCCGGTCTGTATGTGGGGTCCGAACCCTCAGCGGGAGCGCCACCGCGCTCCCAAGCAGCGCACTGTAGCAGTGCGCCACCGGGCTGGCCCCCCAAGCTGACTTTTTAAATGTCAAATTAATCTCAAATGCATGAGAAGACAATGATTGCAATAATTTGGTTTGGGCACCAACATTAGGTTTCAAAAGCTCACTTTGGGTCGGGGAGAGAAGAGAAGCAAACTAAACAGCTACAGAGCATTTTTTTCAGGAATCCATACACAACCTCGCCATGATTTGTGGTTGGCTCTCTCTGGGGAGGGTGTGCTTATCCAAGTGTGAAATGAAGAGAGAGAATCACATTTCTACTCTGCTGGACAGAGGCCCTCAGACCTGGGAGCAGCAGCTGTTTCTTCAACAGCTGGAACTTGGACTACAGATTTCTCCCTGTTGCTTAGGTTTAACCCAGAAAAGGGAAATCTGTTTTGTCTCAATTCAAAATCAAAGTGAAAGACGACCACTCATAGCCAGCACACATAAGAACAGAGCATGCGCTTCATTTATTTTCTGTGCTGAGACAAGTTCTGAGTACTTAACCTATTCAGAGATATTTGCTTCACCACATATCACAGAACTAGAGGTGATAATAGCTGGCTCTCTGACTGCCCAGAGAGCAATAACTGATTTAATGAATTAGATCCTATTAATTCTGGTGACCATGCAAATGAGACCAACCAGGAATATAAATCAATGAATAATCAGCTAAGAGCACAGCATTCTCTCATTACAGCTCTACATGCAGGTGCACTGAGTTGGCCAAGTAATTGTGTCTTCATAGGAATAACACTAAAGATTAGAAGATATATGGAATTGTTCTGCAAATGTTGGCTATTATTATCATTTTCTTTACTTAATTAATGCTCAATGCTCTCTCTGTGAAGCTGAAGGTACATGAATGTAGAATTTCAGAGACCGTTTTATTGGAACACGTCTCCATAGTGGTTCATTTATAAATTCTAATAGACTTGACTCTTTTGAGCCTCATTAACATTCTTCCAAGGTGTCAAGGAAGATAAAAAAGGCAGAAGAATATTTTCAGGAGAAAGAGAGTTCATGGGCACTATGGAAGGCTTGGAGCTTGGAGTGGAGTTGACTTCTGGTTTAATCTTGCTTTTCACAAATGTGCCAGTGACAACAAGACCACAGGACTGACCAGAGGCTACAGAATGACATTGGCTGCACCAGGAAGGTCTTCTGTCAACTTTTGGGCTTATGCAAAGAGGAAATGGCATGACCCTTTTCACCACCCCCTGCCACACACACACTCTTCTCTTTCTGCTGAGGCTTTTCTTCTGATCAGAAATTTGGGTCTTGCCAAAGTTTTGTTCCCAGTAGAATGGAGGGCTGAGAGGTGACTCAGGGCCTAGGAGTCTCCCTGAAACTTCCACAACTTCCTTGTGTGGACTGATTTGTGTGTCCTTGCCAGGGCTAGCAAGTAAGAAAGCATCAATTGTTTCTATCTTAATTTACATAGGAAAGAAAGAGAAAGAACGAAGTAATTGATTCAGATTTTTCTGATGGCAGCCCGAAGTTCATTTTTTTTGGTCTGGCCATCAAGCAAGAGAGAACAGAAAGAGTTGGCATGTGCCTTCCTCATTTGCCTCTTTGGCCTCTTTCTCCCGCTCTTGACACCCCACCCCAAACCCCTCCAATTCCCCAGTTCTGCTCTCCAGAAGCGATTACTACTAGCAGAGATACTCTATGCAGATACACACATATGTGATTATATAACACCCTTCTTTGTAAACAACAACAAATGCACACGTGGTAACGTGACATATATAGTTTTACATCTTGTTTTTTTGACAGACTATTTCCCAAAGATTACAGAAGGAAGTATGTTTATGAGAGCAATCCCTTAACCTGAATCTTACTTTGTAGACAAAGCCTTTCCCAACCATTTCTGCCATGAGTGGGAGGCTCTAATTTGGATTTTTCTTTGTGCTTTTCTTTCCTCCTTTGGAAAGTGAGGGGAAACACGATAACCTTTCAAGTAGTTTCCAGCCACTAATTCATTTGATAGGAAAGGAAATTGAATGGCAACTAATGTATCAATCTGCCTATGGTCTGAATTTAATTATTGGCAGAACAGGGATACTTGACTTCTAACTCTGGGATTTTGCCAGCAGCCCATACTGACGTTTGGTGCTTACTGTTTCCTTTTTGGTGTCTATGGTCTGGGAAATCCCAGAGCAGAAGCAAGGTAGCAGTTTATACTTATATTAGCTTTTAAGTGTGAGGAATCGATAAGAACTATCTGAGTAGACTGATCAAGTGTCCCTTCTCTTGACAGCAAGAGACTAGATCCTGTTTCAAGTTGATGTGATATAAATGGGACATAGATGATGTGATATAGATAAAGACATGTGATATAGATGGATAAGAAAGAATGGGCTCTGGGGTGAGTGCTGGAGGGCAGAGGAGATTCTACACAGGGAGGCAAAATCAAAGTGATATTAAAGGAGAAGAACTGATGGTGTTTGGTGCAAGAAAATAGTCATGAGCTGCTCATTAAAGTTAACAACGACAAAGAATGTTGCTCTACCAGCTGTGTGCTTAACAATTGTGGAATGCAGTGGTGGGTAGATAAAAAGTTATATTCCAGCGAACTAACTCTATAGGACCCAAACTCT